CAAGTCTGAACGCCACACTCATCACGTGAGCAGCGTATCTCTCTCCTACTATCATTTCCTGCTTTCATGGTTTTAGTATCTTTGAACTCCAAATCATCTCGATCTCTCTCTCCCTTTGCTCACCACCACAGCTTTCCCCAATCCAAACCCTAGAAAAATCATCATCCGTGACATATAGATCTCTGCTACCAGTGTATCACACACTTGTATATATTAAGTTTGTATGGTTTGATTTAAAGGTATTTTATGCTCAGTTGATAGATAGGTCAATTACAACTTCCTGCATCAAAAATAAGAAATCTAACAGAGTTAAGATGGGCAACATGAGAGAAAGGTACTAAGTAATCCACACCCTATGTTTGGATGTAACTTTTGGCAAGACATGTCTTTAAACGCTCAACTGAACCATCAGGATGATATTTCACTATGTAGACCCAACCATAACCAACAGATTGTTTACCAGAAGGAACAGAACAATGCTTAGATATTAGGGTTTAGATTTAGGAGGAAGAGAAAGGAGAGAGAGAGAGAGAGAGAGATTGAGGAAAATAATGTTTGTGTGTGAGCTCATATTGCTCTATACCTTCTTATTTATAACATATGAATAAATTACAATATTACCCAATGACACTAATAACAAATAACAACTCTAACAGTAAGCATTCCAACCATAAACGTTTTAAGAGAGCAAAAAGACAAATATGTCCATAGCAATCGTAAAATTCATTTATTATTTGGGAATGTCGCCCGAGCAAGAATTTTTAATCTTGCCCGACTGAGTTATTAGAGCCTTAGTAGATTTCTTGCAAAAGCCAATAAAAGCTTTTTTTTAAGATTTTAGACGAATCACACTTTGCACCGTGAAAGATTTAAGAATTCTCACATTACATCCTCAAATATTAAATTTCTCACATTGCACCTTCAATATATTAAAAGTATTACAATGTGGCACTTCTATTAGTTTTCGTTATTCATTGCGTCAACGTCAACAGAGCAGTTTTGACAGAATAAGCAATAGAAAATAGCGGAAGGACCACATTGTAATACTTTTAATACATTAAAGATATAATGTAAGAGTTGAGAAATCTCATCTTTGAGGGTGCAAAGTGGGAAAGTTTAAAACTTTCAGGGTGTAAAGTAAAATTCCCCTTTTTATTTTAAAAGATTTGAATTGATTGTATGATTAAAAGATTTGAAGTTTCTTTTTTAGTATTTATTTAAATTTGGCAGGTTTTTATATTTAATTTTAAGCTTCTTTGATTATTGGACTTTAGATCATGATCCAATGATCCACATAAAAAGTATTCACATAAGCCTACAGTGCATAACTTATAACTTTCAAAGGCCTCATAAACCTAGAGAATGTTTCTCTAGCAATTACAACCATAGGAATATAAAACCTCATTGAAAGCCAAACACCCTCCTTTCCTAACCTCCACATAAAAAAATTATGGCAAATAGCAATTTGCATCCTGAAAGATTTCAAGTTTCTTATTTTACACCCTCAAAGATTAAATTTCACACATTGCATCTTCAATGTATCAAAAATGTTATAATATAGCCCTTCTGTTAACTTCTGTTATTTTTTCTGTCAAAAACCAACAAATTGACACTGACAAAAAAACTAACAGAAAACTAATAAAATGATCACATTGAAACACTTTTGATACATTGAGGGTGTAATGTGAAAATTTTAATCTTTAAGGGTACAAACTACAAATATTTGAGCGTCAAGATGCAATTCGCCCTTGTTTTAAATTGCACACTCGATGAAATTAACTGATAATCATGTGAACGTCGGCAATAACGTTCCCTGCGATTTTTGTCAGTTGACAACCATGTGAGATACACGTGATGACTTTTGTTGGATTTTAGCCCTTTCTCTTTTACATGTATTTCACATGACTGTCAATCTGAAAAAAATCGCAACGAACATTATAGCTGGGATCACATTGCTACCAATTAATTTCATTAAAAGAAATTTAATCTTTCAAGGAGCAAACTAACATTTGCCCAAAAAATTAAACACACTATGAGTTGTAATCAATACAGAAATTCTATCTCCTCCACGAACTTCTCAAAAAACAAACCACAAAGGACTTGCTCACAACCACCAAGGGACACATAATAACACCTCAACATGCCATGAAGGAACCAATGCCTTGAATACATAGATTAGACCTCATGGAAAGTATTAGTGTTCCTTCACAACATGTAGAGGCCCAACATTTGCCCCAGGGTAATCATAAACTAATCCTTTCTGAAAAATAATTTTAATAGTTCGTCAAAAAATTAAGTTCAAGCAATGATTGTGACTAATTAGTTCGTCAAAAAAAATATTTTTAAAAAATAAAAAATAAGTGTACTTTGTTTGCAAGGAGGTTGTTTAACTAATGACAATTCAATTTCTCATGGTCATAATTCCTAGAAAAATTGCCTATAGATATATGAGGAATTTCAAGGTGGAACATTTTTTAATGTAAATTGGTTTTTTAATTTGATTGCGCTGATATTATGATGAGGGATACTTATTTTACATTTTATTGCATGTGTTCTTCCAGCAACTAACCAACAACATACTGGAGCATATAAGTTCACAATCGACCTTAAAGCCATGCTTTGACATGGGAATACATTAAGGCGGCCTCAAAGCTGACTCCATGTTTTGCTCGTCTAAAGATGTAATATTTGATGTGGCCATGCATGAGTTACTGCACATTACAAGATCCTTGCTTTTGAATGTGTGAAAGCAAAAGAAAATAAGAAGTGTGTGTATGATTTTTTTTAAAAAGGAAACAATATAATTTTATGATTTGAAAATAATATACCAAAGATGTAATAGGATGGACAAGTTGTCCAACCATGAAAGGCCAAAAACAAAAACTCTTAGCAAAAAAAACTAATGGGCACATGCGACCTTCCAATCCGCCAATATAACAAAGACCAAGATGCCATCAAAGTCATTAGAAACGAAAGCCCACAACAATTCGAATAAATATATCCAATCCCATAATCCCTTATTCCATTCGGCTCTATTCTCAAATTTCCTTGAATTTTTCTCCAACCAATAACCCATATTATGGCGAAGATTGCACAATGCCAAAGGGTTACCTTTTTCCCATTCTTTCCAAATCCATTAAATTCTTCCACTAGCATTGAAAAAAAAATCTCAAGAATCGCCCATATTAAACCTGCTAATTGAAATAACTTGGACCACAAAAACATAGCAATAGGGCAATGCAAAAAAAGGTGATCAATACTCTCATTGAAACACACATCATCACACACCACTGTGGAGAAATACAAAGAAATAGTCTTCTTTTCTGAAGCATATTATTTGTATTAATCCATGCACAAACTTGCACCTTACTAGGCACTTTAGCCTTTAAAATCATCACAGAAGGAAAAAATACATGAAGTAAAGAATCATCAATCAGCTTATCCAAAACAAATTTACATAAGAAAACCCCGAAAACTCAAGAATCCACTTTCTCTCTCTTAGATATGTCAAGAATGTCTTTTTGCCCAATGAATTGGCAGAAGAGGTTTATGTGGTTCCTCCTCCTAGTCTCCCTCACATTCCAAATGAGGTATGTAAACTCAGAAAAGCTTTGCATGGTCTTAAACAGGCTCTTAAAGCTTGGTTTGAGAAGTTTTCTATTATGATCTTTGACTTGGTTTTCGTTCAAGTGATCATGATTATGCTCTTTTCATTCATTCTACTTTGGTTTTCGTTCAAGTGATCATGATTATGCTCTTTTCATTCGTTCTACTTTTGCTGGTCAGATTGTTCTCTTCTTATATTTTGATGATATGATTATTACCCGGGATGATTTTGAGGACATTTCAATCTTAAAGGCTCAATTATAACAACAGTTTGCGATAAAAGATCTTGGTCCCCTTCGACATTTTTTGGGTATTGAAGTGTCTTCATCCACTAAAGGTTATCTTCTTTCTCAGTCAAAATATACAGATGTTATCCACAAGACTCATTTAACAAATTCTCCAACTGTTGAGACTCCTATCCAGCTTAATGTGAACTACACTTCTACTGATGGGATCCCTTTGGTTGATCCTACCTTGTATCGAGTTCTTGTCGGCAACCTAGTCTATCTCACAGCTACACAACCTGATATAGCATATGTCGTTCATATTGTGAGACAATTTGTCTGTTCTCCATCTACAGGGCACTGCGCTGTAGTTCTTCACATTTTACGCTATATTAGAGGCACTTTACATCAAAGTTTTTTTTTTTACCCACTTCTACTGTGGAGCTTCCGGGCTTTTTCTAAAGCTGATTGGACAAGTGATGTCATGGATTGTAAATCCAACACTAATTTTTGTGTCTTTTTTGGTGATTCTCTTATCTCCTAGAGAAGCAGACTGTTGTCACTTGTTCAGTTGTTAATGCTGAATATCGTATTATGACTACTTCTACTTCGGAGATCGTTTGGTTGAGATGGTTACTTACCGATCTAGGTATTTTCTTTTTTGGTCCTACTCCTATATATTGTGACAACAAAAGTGTCATTCAAATTGTACAAAACTCTATTTTTCATCAGCGAATTAAGCATATCGAGATCGACTGTCACTTTGTATGTCACCATCTTCAGCTTGGGACTATTTTATTACCTTTTGTTGCTTCCACTATGTAGTTAACTGACTTCTTCACGAAGTCTCATACTATGCCGCATTTTCATTTTCTTCTTAGTAAACTCTTAATACTTCCGACCGTCACAACATGAGTTTGAGAGGAGGTGTTAAGAGTGCAATTATATTTATTTATCATTAAGGGTAATCTAGTTTTTTCCTTATTGTACTCTTGTACTCATTTTTTATTATCATGGAATATTAGAGTGTCGCATATGATTTTCTATTCTTCTATCCTCTCTACGTGTGACTTCATTTCTTTCCACTAGATATGTTTTCACCAACTTTGTTAATCTCACTCTATAATCCCCTTCTAGACAGCACCACTCTTTTTTGCAATACTCATCAATCTACGCAATATTATCACATATGAATACTGCCTTATCAACCTCGAAAGGTTCCAAGGTGAATGTGGAATTAAACTTCTTTGACAACGCCACACGTACCTCCAAGAAACAAAAAGACTTTCTCTGGTACAAATAATTGTTATTCCATTTACCATAGACAAAGCAATCAGCCGGTTCCTCTAAACTTTCAACTCCCCTATGTTCAATGAGTCTGCTACACTTCTTTGTTTCATTCCCCAATCCACTCTCATTCATTTTAACATCATTTGGCCATTTTCTACATTCTCCTCCCTACATCACCCTACCAAACATAACCAACCATTTCTTCCTGGTCATTATGATTTGTTCCTTGGGGAATTTCAATGAACCTTCGCAGACCCGTACCTTGAATGACAGAAATTGTTAAGAATTTACCTCTATTGTTTCTATTCAATTCTACCCACATCTAGTAAATATTGTTGTGATACTGTTAACAGAAGAACCTAGATTCCGCTCGAGTAGCCGCTTCTATAATCATTTGCCATAACCATGCCAAACCGTTGATAGTTACTGAGATTGAGAAACTAGTATACTTTCTTTTCTCAAATCCTGAATCCATTTGATTTGTAATCATCATCAACCACAGTCAATATTAATTTGGTTTCAACATGAATTTCTCCAACCGTTTTCATTGCTCACAACCAAAATTTTGCTCTATACACTGGAATGATTCTTGCATCAGACATACTCCCCCACTATTGGAAGGAGTGTAGATACAATAGATGGGAAAGAGAATACGAGTTCATCCAAGATACAGAAGAAGCGGCAGTATAGCCGCCTCACTCAATTCATTGGGCATATGCGTGTGTATGCTTTTTCTAATATAAAACTAGCAATAGAAAAAATACTCTAATATTTCCAAAAAATTTAGCCCAGAAGGCAACATGAAGAAAAAAAAAAGAGTTGCCTCTCTTCAGTATCTAACATTATAATATCATCAATGCATCTTGTCATGTGTATATTTATCATTATAATCAAGACACAATACACATTGGCGACACCTAACGTTTTACATATAAAACATACCACATCGTGTACAATCATAAAGTGTATTCTAAGATGGTTCTGAGAACTCACATCCAAACACAAGAACCCTAAGCATAGATTAAGTGTGCAAATACAAGGACCCTAATAATAAATTAAGCACACATACCCAAAGCACAATTCACTTGAACCTTTCCGTTAATGACATGCAGCAAATTACAACATCAAACATTTCACACATTTGGATTCATAGGACCATTTAAATTTTCTTCCATTTTGTCAATTTTTTCTAGTTCAAGTTTCATCCCAAAAATGAAGAGATCCAACTAAATTGTATTAAGCAATTAGATCACATTTCGTGTTAAATGTTTTAAACGCAAGAACTAGATACTCTCATGCTTTGCATGCCTCTAAAATGATAATTTCTGAGATTTATATAAAGCAATCATACCCAAGTTTAATACCAGCTGTCAATGTATTGAAAACAATCATTAACCTTTACAAGCCAAGACGTAAAAAACTAGTACATGTCCTCCACCTTATAATGGAAAAACCTATTTGGTAAAAAATACACTTCAAAGACTACTAAAGTTCAATAAATCAATCAAAGAATTAAATTTCGTTTTAAAATGATTGAAATGTCCGAAACGTTTCCGTTTCAATGAAATCCAAAACAAATGATTGATTGAATATCAAAATTCCTATGTTTCAAGGTGTTTCGGCAAGTTTTGACCAATGTTTCGGTATGTTCTGACAAATGTTTCAGAAACAAATTTTAAATTTTTTTTTGTTTTTTGAAATGTTTTCGAAACATTTCCATTTTCAAGCTAATCGAAACTATGTACTCAAACGAAATTTTGATCTTTGAAATCAACTAATATTTTTTTCACACAAAACCTCTTTGAAAACTCAAGGAAACATATAGGAGTCCCCTAATTTGATGCTCAAAACACCAAGTCTAATCGAGATAAAAAGATATAATATGAGTCTCTCATGCAAAGTGGGAAACAACTATAAAGATAATATAAGTGCTGATAAAACAGGTCTCTTGAGTCAATTACTGATAAAATCATAACAGAGCAAGATGAAGTAAATTAATCACTGCAATAAGAGCAAAAGACACTGCAACCATCAAAAAATTAATAATTACTCACCAATGACATTGTGTTTCCCTTTCGCAGATCAATCACAGGTTTGAGTCCAACCCCATTTGTTGCTCCTGGCTCACGCCGCTGAAAAGGAAAACCTCCACCTCCCAATTGATTCACCACAGACAACCTTCCATCAGCTCCACTTTCCAACTGATTCACCAAGGACAACCTTTCCCCATGCCCAAACCCATCTCGCCAATTCAAGGATGAACCCCAAAAATGCGATTGCAATGAAGAAAATGGCGAACTCAGCAATGAAAACCTATCACCTCTACGCAATGCTATTTCTCTCTCCATCATCAATTCCTTAAAAACTTCCTCTTCAAGTTCTCGCTGCCTTAAAAGACTAGCTCCAGCCGCAACGATGTCCTCTCTTATCTTCCTCTTTTCAATTTCCCTTATTATCCTAGCCTCTGTCACGTCAGAACAACCACCACCCACAAAATAACCCCTCCTTCCAATATTTTCCATATTTCCCAACAGACCAGCTAAAAAGAATAAAGACGACAAAAATAAAGAAACAGCAGCACACCTAAATAAATCAATAACATGTATGCATAACAATACACACAAAAAACATACAAACCACATGCAGATTTACATATGTTGAACATATAAATAACATCAACCAACAATGATGATCTAAAGAAAGAGAAAAGGGTATTGGGGTTTTGGGTTTTGCTAACCACGCAATGCTTGTTCAGTGAAGGAGTGACTGGAAGAGGACTGATTGTGTGTAGAGTTCACATTGTCACTAGCTCCAGCCTTGATCTCCATAGCCAATTCAAACAAACGATTCAAGACAAGATTTCGAAAGACAGCGACTAACCTCAAAACTAATGAACTTGATAAAGAAAGCTTATTTGTAGACTCTCTCTCTCTCCCTCTCCGTCATACACGCAGAAGTGCATGTATATAATTTACGGCTTGGGTCTATTGGAGAAGTTTCTATAGAAACCCTAACCCTAACTCGAAGGTGAGGATTGTGACAGAGAGAGAGTTGTACGGTTTGCTGTTCACTGTTGATGTTTGAAATATTGCGAATCAACGACCGACACGCCGAACTGTGTGTTACGACGAAAGCGACGGCTTTGGGCCTGGATTTTGTAATTAAATAAAAAATAAAATTACAAATACATATTCAAAAAAAATAATAATATAATATAAGTGCAGAGAAATTCGATTTCAATAATTTATATATACAAGTTGTTGTCCGTACTTGAAGGCAGGGAATGAATCATAAACATATTTATATTTATATTCAAAAATAAATTATAAATATAGAGGAGACAAAATAAATTTAAACACGAATTATAATGGAAGGTGAGCTCTGGTGCGCTGCAGTGTTGGTGGGGAGAGACAGTGATGGGTGGCGACAATCGTAGTGATGACAGTGATGGATTTTACGTGACAATGATGATAATGACAGTCATGGGTGATAGCATTGATGGTGGTGGTGGGTATGAGTGGTTATGAGCAACGACAGGTACTTGTGGATAACAGTGCTGGTGGTGGTAGGTGTGGTGGATGTGGGTGACAGTAGGGTGGCAATAGTGATGGGCAATGACAAGTGGTGATGACAATATTATGTTTAACAAATGGTATTTTTTTTTTAAAATAAAAAATATCCTCAATTAAATATTTTTTTTCATAATTCGAGGAATAAAATTTATTTTATATTTTTAAAGATTTCAAGTTTCTCACTTGTACATTCAAAAATTAAAATTTTCACATTGTATCCTTAATATATCAAAAGTATTACAATATAATCATTCTGTAAGTTTTACGTTTGTTTTTTAATCGGTGTCAATATGTTGACTTTTAACGGAATTAACAAAAATGTCACATTGTAACACGTTTGATATATTTCAGACTATATTGTGAGAATTTTAATATTTGAAAATGTAAAGTAAAAAATTTAAATTCTTTCGAAGTGCAAAGTGCATAAAGCCCTAAATCAAGAGGGATACATAAATTTTGAGAAAACATTTTTAATTTTTCTATGGAGTAATTATATAGATACAATAGTGAGATCTTTGTTTATTTAGTAGCCTTCAAATAATGCCCAACAAAAAGTTATCCTTCAAAAATTTGTGACTCATAAGACGTGCAAAGAGGGAGAAAAAAAGAACTTGTTTTTCTCGAAGAGGGAACTAAAGGTCAGCTTGCGAGAGACTCTATCTTGAGTGAAATAAATACTGCAACTTCGATCCATTTTTTTCATCGGGTCCAGGTAAAGACCAAAGATCTTGAGCGACCGATCCGACGACAAGCTTCAAGTTATGTTTTATATTAATATCTATAATAGGAACTTGCTTTTACATTTAAAAAATAATAATAATTATAATATAAAACAAAATAAATTTTAAGTGTATCTGACGGTCTCAAATAAACTCATATAACGGTTACTAACATTTATCTCATGGATTACCCCTAGTTTCTTATAATATGGTGCACATGAAATATATGTTCAATTAAGTAGGTTTAAAACGTCTAGTATCCACTAGAATACATAGCACACAAAACGTATGTGCCAACTGAATAGGTTGAAAATAAAATAACAAAAAGGGAAAAAAACATTATGAGATAACTTCTATTATTTAAGCAATTTTTTCATTAATTGCATAGTATTGGATGAATTATTCTTGTTAAAAAATTGTAATTATTTATTCTAATGGGTTTTAAAACAAACCTTATGGACCTCAACCAGAGGCAATGTGTCGCTCCTATTTTTAATAGATGTATGCATTAGTAGGTAATTAGTTACATTATTTTTAATATTTATTTTTTTGACAAAATTATTTGTTTATTTAAAGGGCTCGTTTGATAGACGTATTATGATAGAATTAAATATTAGATTGTATTATTTTTTATTTAATCGAGTCTAATATACTTTGTTTGGTAAACAAATTTGATACTGTATTAATTTAAAAAATGTATATTAATTATATATTTATTGTATATTTTTTATACGATAAACTTGTATTATAAATGTATTTTAATACCACCAAGAGAGGTGTTATTATAATTTAACTCAAACATATTATTCTACAAGTTGTCATCAATGTAACAAACACTAATAGATGGTGTTTTTGTTAATTCAATAACTAATACCCAACGATTATGTTGTGTACTGTCAAAAACTGATTGAATTAAATAACTAANTGTATTGGATGAATTATTCTTCTTAAAAATTTGTAATTATTTATTCTAATGGGTTTTAAAACAAACCTTATGGACCTCAACCAGAGGCAATGCGTCGTCGCTCCTATTTTTAATAGATGTATGCATTAGTAGGTAATTAGTTACGTTATTTTTAATATTTATTTTTTTGACAAAATTATTTGTTTATTTAAAGGGCTCGTTTGATAGATGTATTATGATAGAATTCTATATTAGATTGTATTATTTTTTATTTAATCGAGTCTAATATACTTTGTTTGGTAAACAAATTTGATACCGTATTAATTTAAAAAATGTATATTAATTATATATTTATTGTATATTTTTTATACGATAAACTTGTATTATATATATATTTTAATACCACCAAGAGATGTGTTATTATAATTTAACTCAAACATATTATTCTACAAGTTGTCATCAATGTAACAAACACTAATAGATGATGTTTTTGTTAATTCAATAACTAATACCCAACGATTATGTTGTGTACTGTCAAAAACTGATTGAATTAAATAACTAATTTCCTAACCAAACAATTTGTTACATTGGTTAGGAAATTAAAGTTGGATAACTAATTTCCTAACCAAATCAATGTAACAAATACAATTAACAATGTAACCAAACAATTTGTTATATTGGTTAGGAAATTAAAGTTTTTTNATACTTATTTTACATTTTATTGCATGTGTTCTTCCAGCAACTAACCAACAACATACTGGAGCATATAAGTTCACAATCGACCTTAAAGCCATGCTTTGACATGGGAATACATTAAGGCGGCCTCAAAGCTGACTCCATGTTTTGCTCGTCTAAAGATGTAATATTTGATGTGGCCATGCATGAGTTACTGCACATTACAAGATCCTTGCTTTTGAATGTGTGAAAGCAAAAGAAAATAAGAAGTGTGTGTATGATTTTTTTTAAAAAGGAAACAATATAATTTTATGATTTGAAAATAATATACCAAAGATGTAATAGGATGGACAAGTTGTCCAACCATGAAAGGCCAAAAACAAAAACTCTTAGCAAAAAAAACTAATGGGCACATGCGACCTTCCAATCCGCCAATATAACAAAGACCAAGATGCCATCAAAGTCATTAGAAACGAAAGCCCACAACAATTCGAATAAATATATCCAATCCCATAATCCCTTATTCCATTCGGCTCTATTCTCAAATTTCCTTGAATTTTTCTCCAACCAATAACCCATATTATGGCGAAGATTGCACAATGCCAAAGGGTTACCTTTTTCCCATTCTTTCCAAATCCATTAAATTCTTCCACTAGCATTGAAAAAAAAATCTCAAGAATCGCCCATATTAAACCTGCTAATTGAAATAACTTGGACCACAAAAACATAGCAATAGGGCAATGCAAAAAAAGGTGATCAATACTCTCATTGAAACACACATCATCACACACCACTGTGGAGAAATACAAAGAAATAGTCTTCTTTTCTGAAGCATATTATTTGTATTAATCCATGCACAAACTTGCACCTTACTAGGCACTTTAGCCTTTAAAATCATCACAGAAGGAAAAAATACATGAAGTAAAGAATCATCAATCAGCTTATCCAAAACAAATTTACATAAGAAAACCCCGAAAACTCAAGAATCCACTTTCTCTCTCTTAGATATGTCAAGAATGTCTTTTTGCCCAATGAATTGGCAGAAGAGGTTTATGTGGTTCCTCCTCCTAGTCTCCCTCACATTCCAAATGAGGTATGTAAACTCAGAAAAGCTTTGCATGGTCTTAAACAGGCTCTTAAAGCTTGGTTTGAGAAGTTTTCTATTATGATCTTTGACTTGGTTTTCGTTCAAGTGATCATGATTATGCTCTTTTCATTCATTCTACTTTGGTTTTCGTTCAAGTGATCATGATTATGCTCTTTTCATTCGTTCTACTTTTGCTGGTCAGATTGTTCTCTTCTTATATTTTGATGATATGATTATTACCCGGGATGATTTTGAGGACATTTCAATCTTAAAGGCTCAATTATAACAACAGTTTGCGATAAAAGATCTTGGTCCCCTTCGACATTTTTTGGGTATTGAAGTGTCTTCATCCACTAAAGGTTATCTTCTTTCTCAGTCAAAATATACAGATGTTATCCACAAGACTCATTTAACAAATTCTCCAACTGTTGAGACTCCTATCCAGCTTAATGTGCACTACACTTCTACTGATGGGATCCCTTTGGTTGATCCTACCTTGTATCGAGTTCTTGTCGGCAACCTAGTCTATCTCACAGCTACACAACCTGATATAGCATATGTCGTTCATATTGTGAGACAATTTGTCTGTTCTCCATCTACAGGGCACTGCGCTGTAGTTCTTCACATTTTACGCTATATTAGAGGCACTTTACATCAAAGTTTTTTTTTTTACCCACTTCTACTGTGGAGCTTCCGGGCTTTTTCTAAAGCTGATTGGACAAGTGATGTCATGGATTGTAAATCCAACACTAATTTTTGTGTCTTTTTTGGTGATTCTCTTATCTCCTGGAGAAGCAGACTGTTGTCACTTGTTCAGTTGTTAATGCTGAATATCGTATTATGACTACTTCTACTTCGGAGATCGTTTGGT